TTGCAAACTTTTTTTTTAATTCTCTGCTGATCCCAGGACTTTTAAAAAATGTTTTACACTAATAGTACACTTTCAGTTATGTCTTTGACAAAACAAGGATATATTTGGTCACTTTATGGCATAGTTATGCACAACATTGACAATAAAAGTATCATATATCAATCTTTGGTTTATTTATTTATTTTTTTTACATAAAACATCAGTCCAGTGAATGGACTGATGAAAAAAATGTAAATGAAAAACTGTAAGTAATTATAATTATATTAGCTCTGCTGTGTGATATGGATTTAACATGGAAATGTATTAGTTAACACACCTCTACGTTCCACTATTTTACAGGTGCACTAGTTTTCTGCTCCAGTTCAGACACAACAGCACCACCAAAACACTCAATGGTTGAGACAAGTAATGCCCCTACTGTGACCAATGTATTTTCGTATGTTTATTCAAAGCCAGTGAGCAACAGACTTCCATCCATTCCACCCTGGACCCCTAAAATAATAACTGTGATAAACTGCATCAATTGGTGTGAATTAAGACGTTAATGCCATAATAAGGGTAAGGTTACCTGACCGTCCCTAATCTTTTTTGCCAGTGCAGTACAGTGGTGTACAATCTTGGTCCAGACCCTTGACAATGACAATCACAACATGACCTCCCGTCTGACAACACTCCTGTTCTAAGATTAACCTCAACGCCTACACGCTTTGCTTGCACTACAAATAGTCTGTTAACAGTTGTACAGGTCAATAAAGCCAAGGTTGGGTCTGGACTTTGTTCATATGCTTGCGTTACTGTACAACACAAAACACACATTAACGTGAAGACGCCGAATTCTCCTGCAGAGTGCAAATTCATCAGATGAAATCAACGATTAAGTCGGAGTAAAACAATCAGGGGAAACTAATTTACCGAGAGACAGCAAGGATATGCAATATTGGTCTCTCAAACACAGGTTTGTACACTAATACAAGAAAATGGTTGCATATAAACGGCAACTGAAGACATGTTAAAAACCAATCATCAGTTCATAGAAGATCAGAGAAATTTATGAAGAGCTCAGAAGAACTGCAGGTTAAAGAAGAGGCAGAAATCTCAAGGGAGTGTGTGTTTTGTACCTGTGTACGTGCATGTGGTTTTATACATGTTCTCTCTCTCTCTCTCTCTCTCTCTCTCACACACACACACACACACAAAACACGTACATGTGCGTGCACACACACGGGTTAACCATACGGGTTAATTTGTTACACCAGCTCTTAACTTTTTGCAGACATTATTACTAACCTTAACTTTACAAACATATTGTAATGATCACTTCCTGTAGACAAGTAAATGTCAATTCCACTTCAGCGGTGTTGTTGTCTAACTTGACGGAGATGTGAAATGGTCCGATGTCGATAAGCGCTGATGTATCGAAAATATTTTTTGTTTTGTACATAAAATCTCCTCTTGTCTATACAATACGTCAAGTGTTATCCTAACTTCAAACTGACCATGATTCTGATACCAACACAATCAAATGTCATTCAGTGGAGACTTGCAAAATGTCCCCATAAAGATAAAGTGTCTTTAGAACAAGGCCGTTTTTCCAGACAATGTGGCAACAAGTAGGTCTTCAAGGAAAACAAAAACGCATATACACATGTCAATGTCATGCACATTGAGATCATCAAGCATAGATAATGTATTATCTAGCCCAAGGAATGTTTTTCCACAAGGTCGGTTTTAATGTCACAGTCAGTGATGACCAAACTGGAGACAACGAGGTGGGCAGATAATGTACTGTATACTTAGTCTGGAAGCCAACGTTTCCAAAGGAAGCAACAAGGTCAAACACGCAACGTTGGCTCGAGTCACAACGCATGGATTATGTTCACTCACAGCTCTATATTCTAATAATATATCAGAGAAATATGTTGCTTGTTTAGGTCGTAAAATCACTTTGCACTTCCTGCACAGACAGGAAAGCTTTTTTTTAAAAACTGGGAAATAAAAGTAGAGAAGGAACAAAAACTTCTGCCAGTGCAGATTTGTGACTCTTTTTTAAATAAAGCATGGTAACTGTAAACGGACATATTGTCATATTGATTAATCATTAGAATAAGGAACGGGAAAATTCCCCTCGCCCTCGACTACAACAAAAGGTTTACATTGTGGCTGATTAACAATCCTGTTAACAATTACAGTGTACAGTGTACAGTGAAGCCTGAAAGAGAACGTGACACCAACCTTCACTGAGCACTAAATATTTTTTCTTACATATACTTATATATAATTAACAGAACATTTGAGTCATATAGTGACAGAAACAAGAAGTGACAAACACTATTTGTGATTTAAAGGTGTTTCCCCACTGTCACAGTTACAGCCAGGAGCACAAACAAAACTGCGATTCATAAATTTGGTGATTTTCAGGAGCTAAAAATATATTGTAAAAATTAACACTACATCATTGTTTCCTAAAGACTGGTCGCGACCCTCAGGTGGGTCGCACAAGTTTCCCAGGAGTTTATGACTGATTGACTTGGGTCACGAAGGCTAGGCTTTAAAATATGGGTCCCCAGAAAATAAGTCAAATTCTGACCTTGCCTGGTTTCCTAAATAAACATAAAAATATAATATAAGCAAAACAATATCATTTTTATTTTATTTTATCAGAGTGTCTGACCCACAGTGTATCCCTCCAGAAAAATTCTGGTCCGCCGACAAATATAGTTGGTGACCCCTGGCATACAAGACAATTTTTATATATATATATATATATAATCCACTACAGTTTGACATGTCGTCTACTGGTGAGAGGAGTTAGAAAGTTAATACAGAGAGAGTGGAGAATGAGTCTCAGTGGAAAGCTTTGAGTATGTTTAATAACTAATGTTGATTTCTCGTGATCACGGTAGCAACAAAAATACAATGCGTGTGTAATGGGAAGGGCTGTGTCTGTGTGTGATCCCCGAGTACAGCTATGCTTGTGAAGACCTTATTTGTAAAACACGAATGTTCAATTGAGGGGTAATTTAGAGTAGGGGATATATTTGTGATATTTGTGATACTTAAGGTGCTGAGGAATGCATTAAGTCTATGTGAAGTGCTCACAAAACACAAAAGTTACAGTGTGTGTGGGAGGCGGGGTGAGGGTGAGGGGGTGTAAGACCTCTCTCTGTGGTGCTGAATCAATATTTCTAAGGAAGTACGACCCCTTGGGGCACACTTACCTCCAGTTACGGGAGAGTCACTAAAGTGTTTATTGACTTTTTCCTAACACACACATAAACACAGTAGAAGGGAGTTTGGCCAAGTACAGTCCCTGCTGCTGTCCAGTCTGACCTGCAACAGCTGAGTCTACAACTTACAAAAACTGGCCACTAGAGTTATTCAGCTGCTGTTGTTGGCTGCTGTAGTACAAAGATTGTCAACACACACTCTGAACCACCACGAATGGTTTAGTAGCAATGAAATATTGGTTAAATTCATCCCCGTCATTGAAGTAGTACTACAGTAGATTGATGCAGTTGGTCCTGAGTGACGTGGTAAAAACTGTAAATCTAATCAAAACTGATGCTTTCTAATACTGATCAGGATATTTTGCATGGATAATAAATCCATTAGGGGGCAGTATTGAAAATGAAAGAATGCAGAGCTGTTGTCAAAAACTCTAGCACAGAGATGCCAAACAGGTAGATCGCAATGTACCTGTAGGGCTAAGATCCAAACTGTACCTATTCTCAACTAAATTTTAAGGGTATGTTATGGGTTTGGATTATTTGACACGTAAATGGAGTACAAGTGCGTAGCTCCTCATAGTTCGTGTTGGTAAACACTGCGTGAGATTGTTGCAAACTTCTCCGATCACGTCAGGCTTCAGTTTATACTTTGGTACAGAGATGGATGGATTGGAATCAGAAAATATTAATACTCAGACACTAATTGGTACTAGGGTTAGTGTCAGATTACATACCCATTCGCAATGGTAAAAATACCAATAGTGTCATCTTTGCCTTCTCTGGTTGACAACACCCCCAGACAACATTGCTAGTTGTTTAGGTTGTAGAGTCATGTGTTTGCTGCAAGTTTCCAAAAGCAATGGTTTTACATGGTTTCAAAGACATTGGTGTGGTTTTTAGTTCTCAGTATCCTGAGGTTTCACAAAAGGGATATTAAACTTTCACCCCAGTGAGTGGCAGATGACACAGAAACCAGAATCAGATCAACAAAGTCAGGTTAACAGAGGCCTAACTACAGAATAAAAAGTACCACTAAACAAATACACGTCTTTACTCTAGGACAGGGGTGTAAAACTCATTTCGGTTCAGGGGCCACATACGGCCCAATTAGCTGTGAAGTGGGCCTGACCAGTACAATCATAACATAATTACCTTAAATAACAATAAGTATTTGTTAGTATGTGTTTAAACCCCTCTTGTTTTCCTGCAAATAAGTACAAATCTATTAGATAATGTTCATATTTAATAAAAATATAATTTGACAAACCACGAACATGTAGTGTTTGTTCATTTTTTCACTTTCAAAAGCGAGCTGGATTCAACCCCCTACCGGATCGGTTTTGGCCTGCGGGCCATACGTTTGACAACCCTGCTCTAGGATCTTTGGAAGATAATTTTTCTCCAAACTCCCCCCCCCCCCAAAAAACCCACCCACATCTACTTAGTCAGTTTTAAACCAACAATGAACATGATTTAATAGCCAGGTAGAGCAAACAGAAAATAAATAACACGATGACCTTCCACACCAACACTGAGACCTGCTGAGTTTTATACTTTTTCACTGTTTCTTAGACCATAAAATACACTGATTTATGAAAAGAATTTCATCT